AGATTACGGAATTTACAAAGCGAAGTTTTTAGTCTCCTGAACCGCTGGGTTACAAGATAGGTAAAAACTGTTGACGGTGTCATTTTCAGCATCCAAAATAGCATTTTTCAGCGAAGGTTGTGGGAACTTTCTCCCTCAGATGGAGGAGCTACGGCCCGAAACGGAATTTACATCCATTTTTACACCCTTACCGTTTTGAACTCTTCTGACGGCCTGGAAGCGTCGTTTGACCGCCCCCAGGTCCCGTGGGCACGGGCTTCTGGAAGTGTTTTTTATGTTCTTTCGATCCCAAGTGGTCGCGAGTTTCTAAAATGAAAAGGAACCCCCAGTAGACCGTCATTTGTAAAAACAGCATAGGTCACATAGTCACACGGTGGACATTTTCCCAAAGGCTGTTTCGGGTTCAACAAGTGATGATACAAAGGTCACCCTCCGTAATTTTGTGAAGAATAAGTCAGGGGAGAGAGTGAAATAGCCAGTTTTCTTTTGATGTGGCTGAGTCATATACTACAGCATGGCAATGTTGTCTTATAGGTGTTGGTGACCATGACGGAACTTACAAAACGACACTTTAGCAGCTTACGAAACCCAGATAAACAAAAGTTAGATCGACTTATCCACATGAGGACATGGTCTTCGTTTAGTAAAACAAATTTGAATTGCCCAAGCTACCAAATCAACCTCAGTTCAGGCGCAAGGCCCCGGTGACCTGAAATGACCCCCTACGCACGGAATCACCCATACGCCAGGCGTGGATTGTCGAAACTGTCGCAGCATCGCGAAGCCTGTTAGGATAAGACACGGTCTTGCCTGTCTTATTATTGGCTGAGCGATAGCGAAGCCCTTGTCGTGTTTGGGGGCGCCGAGAGGCGGCTGGTCGTGCGTCTGTCCTCCGGGTGGTCGGGGGAAAGGGCTGGGGGTGGGGGCTGGGGGGTCGTCATGAGGCTAACATTTTAGGTTTCACTGCGCCTAAACCGCTGGACCGATTGAGTTCAAATTTTGTGGGTAGTTACCTGTTAGGGAGGACTTCACTTTGCAGGTGTTAAATTTGACCCCCACCCCCTTGAACGCCCCCACCCCCTTGAACGCCCCCACCCCCTAAAAACGATGCTGACCATTTTTTGCTTCTGTACGAGCCACATGAGGTGCTGTGCGAAAATCAATCGTTTCGGTGGGTGGGGGCAGCCTCCAAGAACGACCCCTCCAAATTTCAGCCCGATACTACTAATAGCCAGGGGAAGGCCTTCGGCCTCGATGCTGAGCTGGATTCTGATGGAGATGGAAATGCATTTTCATCAGTAGTAAATTTGGATGTGTTTTTTTGAAAATGGGTCTCTTTTCTTTTTGGGGGGTGATATCCAGGAAGTATGCATTTGCACGAAGGATTGTGATTCGACAATGGTTGGTTTCTCCTTGAATCGAAGGAAGGGTATTTAATAATCTAAAACCAAATTGTCCAACCAATCCTAACCTAACCTAAAAAGCTCGTGACAGATCTTACTCTACTCGTGACAGATCTTTCCCTACTCTTGACAGATCTTTCCCTACTCTTGACAGATCTTATTCTCAAACTTAATGGTCCAACCAATCCTAACCTAACCTAACGGGTTCGTGACAGATCTTACTCTACTCGTGACAGATCTTTCCCTACTCTCGACAGATCTTATTCTCAAACTACGTAAATGGTTCAACCAATCCTAACCAAACCTAACGGGCTAATGACAGATGTTACTCTACTCGCGACTGATCATATCCTACTCGCGACAGATCTTATGCTCAAACTAAATGGCCTATGAAGCTTGGGTA